AGCATTTCATTCATGTCTCCTTGTGCTCATGAGCTCATATTTTCTTTCTAGAGATGGAGTTTTACTCCTGTTGCCCAGGCTGGAGTGCAATGGCACGATCTCAGCTCACTGCAACTTCTACCTCCCCGGTTCAAGCGACTGTACTATCTCAGCCTCCCAAGTAGCTGGGATTACAGGAGTGTCACCACACCCAGCTAAGTTTTATGTTTTTAATAGAGACGGAGTTTCCCCATGTTGGCCACGTTGGTCTCAAACTCCTGACCTCAGGTGATCCGTCTGCCTCGGCCTCCTAAAGTGCTGGGATTTGAGGTGTGAGCCACTGTGCCCAGCCTCATATTTTCTTTTTTTCTCTTCTTTAAAATCAAGACAGGGTCTTGCTCTGTCTCCCAGGCTGAAGTACAGTGGGGTGATCATGGCTTATCGCAGCCTTAACCTCCTGGGCTCAACAGTGTAATAGTGTTGTTCTGTATTCTTACCAATACTTGGTATTGTCAGACTTAAATGTTTGATAATTGGATGCAATGGAAATGCTATCTCATTACTGTTCTACTTTGCATTTCTTTGGTTAATACTGAGATTGCACATCTTTCTATATGGCTATGGCCACTTGAATTTCCTCTTGTTTTCATATCCTTTGCCCACTTTTGTATTGGGTTATTTTTATTCTATTTATTGTTTTATGGTAATTCCATATGTCTATGTATGTATTGTGAGAGAGAGAGAGAGAGAGAGAGTGTGTGTGTGTGTGTGTGTGTGTGTGTGTGTGTATGTTGGGTTTATTCTCCTGGTTCATAGCTTGTTTATTCATTTTTGAAAAATTTCTCTGGGCCGGGTGGGGTGGCTCATGCCTATAATCCCAGCACTTTGGGAGGCTGAGGCAGGCGGATCACGAGGTCAGATCGAGACCATCCTGGCTAACACGGTGAAAACCCATCTCTACTAAAAATTAAAAAAAATTAGCCGCGCATGGTGGCTGGCGCCTGTAGTCCCAGCTACTCAGGAGGCTGAGGCAGGAGAATGGCGTGAATGTGGGAGGTGGAGCTGGCAGTGAGCCGAGATCGCACCACTGCACTCCAGCCTGGGCAACAGAGCAAGACTCTGTCTCAAAAAAAAAAAAAAGAAAAGAAAGAAAACCTCTTGTTCCTCAATTTTCTCATCTGTAAATGAGTGTGTATGTAAATTATATACATTATTTAACAAGTTAATATATGTAATATCATATAACAGTACCTAGCATATTAGAAAACATAATATAAATATTTGTATTATTATCAGCATCTTTGGATGAAAAGTTTTAATTATTTTTAAAGTATCTTCTAATAAATAGAGAAATTAAAATTGTAATGCCTACATTTATAAATATTTTCCTCTATAGCTTATGCTTTTTATATCTAACACTGGCTTTTTCTATTTACTCTACGCTTTGACCATTCTCTTTTTTTTTTTGAGATGAAGTCTCGCTCTTTTCCCCCAGGCTGGAGTGCAATGGCACGATCTCTGCTCACTGCAACATCTGCCTCCTGGGTTCAAGCGATTCTCCTGCCTCAGCCTCCTGAGTAGCTGGGATTACAGGCACCTGCCACCATGCCTGGCTAATTTTTGTAGTTTTAGTAGAGACGGGGTTTCACCATGTTGGCCAGGCTGGTCTCAAACTCCTGACCTCAGGTGATCCGCTCGCCTCAACCTCCTACAGTGCTGGAATTACAGGCATGAGCCACTGCCCGGCCAATGCTTTGCCCATTCTTGAAGTGTTTTCACTAATTGAAAACTTTCCCATCAAACATTCTAGAACCTATTATAATTGGGAGAAGATGGAGAATACCTAAATCATTTCCTCTGTGTTTTAAAGGATGATTGCTTTTCTAGATATCATCATGAATACTAAAGCCATGCTTTTGTTCACTGAGTTTAACTCCCTAAAACAAGGGTTTTTAAAATCATGATGTCTTGTTGAACACATACTGGTGGTTCTTGTATGATATTCAAATTCTAAATTTCTATTTCTGTATTTGCTTTTTCTCTCAGAGACAGGGTCTTGCTCTGTCACCCAGATTGGAGTGCAGTGGTACAGTTATAGCTCATAGCAGCCTCAAACTCTTTGGCTCAAGTGACCTCCCTGCCATAGCCTTCTACTTAGGTAGGACTACAGGCACACACCACCACACTTGGCTAATTTTAAAAAATGTTTTTATAGAGACAGGGTCTTGCTATGTTCCCCAGGCTGGGCTTGAATCCCTGGGCTCACGTGATACCACCTGCCTTGACCTCCTGAGTAGCTGGGCCACCATGCCCCACCTTTTTGTTTGTGTGATTTTTTCCCCCATTTTTTTCCCAGCATTGCAAATGCCCCCATCTTTTCAAATGCTGATATTTTACATACATACCAGAATTATTCTTCTTTTACTCCTGTAAATCTCACTAGACTTCAACAAATATATAAATACTTTAACAAAGACCATGTCTGTTCAGTGGGCTGAGTTGATTTGCTGTTCTGTGAAAGAAAACCTTACACATCACATTAGCTATGTATCGTAGTCAACTTGCAGTGTCACTCTTAGTGATGAAAATCACTTCCAGAACCCTCAGTGGTGGATTATTTCCTTCTGCTCTATTGAAGACATTATAATACTTGTTGGGAAAGTTTCATGGCTACAAAAGTGGTAGCAGTCACTATTCAGTGGAATTGTTGGCAGATACAGAGCAACCCTGTCCAAACACAGAGAGATCAAGATGGGCTATAAGCCATGAAACTTCACAGGACAACTTTGATACCTGAAATAAATGCTGTGGAAGTTCCAAAGCTCCTTCCTGAAGAGAAGTCTTGCTTTGCCTAGATACCCCTGGGATTTGTCTCCAGCGCTCCAGTGGTTTCTGCTCAGCCATAAATGTTAAGAATGTTAGTTTTCATGATTAGTTGTCTACTTTGCCACCATCTTGGGATTTACGAAGAAAAATGCTTGCACGCCAAACCCTCCTCAGAGAATATATATGGAATTTTCTGTCATTCAATTTATATCAGAAGTCTAGCCCAAATAATTTATATTCCAGGAAGATTACTGTATTAGTCCATTCTCGCATTGCTATAAAGAAAATCTGAGACTGGGGAATTTATAAAGAAAAGAGGATTAATTGGCTCATGGTTCGGCAGGCTGTGCAAGAAGCACGCAACATCCACTTCTGGAGAGGCCTCAGGGAGCTTTTACTCCTGGCAGAAAGCACAACAAGAGCAGGCATCTTACATGGCAGAAGCAGAAGCAAGAGAGTAAAGGGGGAGGTGCTTCAGACTTTTAAACAACCGCATCTCGTAAGAACTCACTCACTGTTGCAAGGACAGTAGCAAGGGAATGGTGCTAAGCCATTCATGCAAAATTTCCCCCGCCACGGTCCTCCAATCACCTCCCACCAGGCCCTACCTCCAACGCTGGGGATCACCTCTTCCACCAGGCCCCACCTCAAGTACTGAGGATTACAATTTTTTTTTTTTTTTTTTTTGAGATGGAGTCTCGCTCTGTCATCCAGGCTGGAGTGCAGTGGCACAAACCCGGCTCACTGCAACCTCCGCCTCCCGGGTTCAAGCTATTCTCCTGCCTCAGCCTCCCAAGTAGCTGGGATTACAGGTGCATGCCACCACGCCCAGTTAATTTTTGTATTTTTAGTAGAGACAGGGTTTCACCATGTTGGCCAGGCTGGTCTCGAATTCCTGACCTCAGGTGATCCACCCGCCTTGGCCTCCCAAAGTGCTGGGATTACAGGCGTGAGCCACTGTGCCTGGCCCCTGAAAAGTTTTTTAAAGTACCTGATATATTTATTTCCTTCCAATAGTGAGACCCATATAATAGAATACACTTACCCTGTTTCCCTGGCCAGGAAGCTCATCTCCCAATTTCAATTTCAATCAGAGCTTCTGTGTTAATGTTTGTCATTAGCACATATGGGTTCTACTTTCCCCCTGGTCCTGATTTTCTATCCCTATTTTTCTGTCTTACGTTATGTCCCAGATGTCTGTCTGGGTGATCTGAGTGATCACCAGACCTGATCACTCTTCAGAGATTCGGAATCACTTACTGTCCTCTCAACATCTCAATTAGGATGTCTACAAGAATCTCAAACTCAAAATGTCTAAAACTGCACCTAATTCCCCACCTAAAAACAAATGAACAAACAAAACCCATCTCTCTTCTTCCTCTGTTTTTCCCAACCCCAAAGAATGTTAATACCATACATCTGATAGTCCAAGTCAGATTTTTTTTTTTTTTGAGACAAAGTCTCGCTCTTGTCCCTCAGTCTGGAGTGAGTGCAATGGCGCGATCTCAGCTCACGGCAACCTCCGCCTCCCAGATTCAAGTGATTCTCCTGCCTCAGCCTCCTGAGTAGGTGGGATTACAGGCACCTGCCACCATGCCTGGCTAATTTTTGTAATTTTAGTAGAGATGGGGTTTAGTAGAGATGTTGGCCAGGCTGGTCTCAAACTCCTGACCTCAGGTAATCCACCACATCAGCCTCCCAAAATGCTGGGATTACAGGTGTGAGCCATGACACCCAGCCAAGAATTCTTAGTCAGCCTTAATCCTTCTCTTTTTCTCACCCTCTGTGTCTGTCAGGATTTTCCGGGTTATGCTGCAGTAACAAACAGCCACTACTCTCAATGGCTTAACACAACAGAAGTTTATTTCTCATCCTAGCTACTGAGTTAGAGCAGGTGCTCTGCTCCACTCTCAAACCAACTCTAGGATCCAGGATGACAGAGCAGTCACAATCTACAACATTTTGGGTCACCACAAGAGTCAGAAAAAAGTCCCAAAGGGTTTCATCTTGGCAATTAGATGCTTAGCCTAGAAGTGACACATACTATCTCTGCTAGAGCTGTTAATAGCTGGCTCAACCACCCAACCACAGGAGGTCAGGAAGTATAACACTACCAGATGCCCAATAGAAAAATTAATAAGCAGCATTATTGATGACTACACTCAGGATGGACTCCCCAGAAGCAGACCCTAAGATGAAGACTCATGTGAAAGCAATTTATTAGGAAGTGTTTCAAGGAAAAAAAACAATAAGGAATCAGGGAAAAGATACAAGGAAGGAAGGAAGCCAAGCAAGTGTTCAATAGCAAACAAAGTCCCATAGAGGGTAAGGTAGGCTCAATCCCACAGAGGAATTCTGGAGACAGACCTCAGAGCAGTCTGGACTGGGGCAAGGAAGCTGGAGACTTTAAACTTCTGAACCAGGAGTCATCTGAGGGCCCTTGCCAGGGAGGTGTAAACCCCAGGCATTTCTGGATCTCCTTGCAGATATTGGCTGTCAGAAGTGAAAACATGGCATGAAATTGGTAAAGAGATCCGAAAGCACAAAAGTGGAGCACAAATACACTTCTGTTACACAAATCCCAATCCCATAAATCACATTATCCTACTAGCTCTATCGCCCATACACCCTCTAAATCATCCGTTTTTCTCTATTCTCTAGTTGTCCCTCCCTCAAGTACCCCTTAAGCCCATTATCCTTGGTCTTCTGCCCTATTGCAACCAGGATACTGAACTGCACTTTTGATATCTGTAATGTACTCTTCACACTGTAGTCAGATTGTTCTTTCTGATCGAAGTGGCTTTTCCCTGGTGATACCTCAAATTTATCATGCCTGCTTTCTATTCAGTATACAATCCCCATTATTTAGATGAGGAAACTGAGGCACAGAGAAGTTAAGGAACTTGCCAATAGTCATTCAGTTAGTAACTGGCAGAGCCAGAATATGAATCTAGTATCCATTAACCCCTTTCCTATTGTATTTCACTCTTCCTGGTTTGTGATTGATTTGCCTGCTTTGTCCTGATTACTACCATTTCTATAAGCTTCACATGCAATTGGTTTAAAGCTAAATTTATCATCTTACTTACCTCCCTCACCAAATGCCTCTGCTCCTGAGATTCCAATGTCAATAATGGCCCTGCCATCCTTTGGTGTTACGCTTGACTCTTTCTTCTTCTTTCTCTATCGTTTCAAGTTATTTTCACAGTTATTGTACTTCTGACTCCTAATGCCCATTGCTGCAGGTAGGGCTGGCTTTATATGCCCTAAGCTGTGGTATACAGAGTACCCAACAAGTACCCATATGTGGGAGGTCCTGGAGCTGTGCCCAAAGAGGGCTCATTAGCAGTAGATAGCATTCCAACAATACTCTGTGCCAAGAAATGAGATCAGAATCCAGGGAATGAAGCCAAATTTGGCTAGTCAGTTGCCAAGCTGTAAGTTCTTGGACACAGTTATAAGCAAAGGGAAAGAAGCCAGTAGAGAGGGAGAGATTGACTGAAGATGAAACTGAAAGAAGCACTAATGGATGGGGCAGGGTCCTGGGGGAGGCGATCAAAAGGATCACCATATGTCTCCTTGGGAGAGGGCTGGCTCTGATGAGTGGGGTCTTGGGGAGAGGGAGTTATATGCCTGGCATATGCTAGGTGCTCAAAATAGTGCTGAGAGGCCTTAATGAAAATATCTGTCCTCTATTCCTGGAGGCAACTATTTTGAACTAACTTGGCTTAAAAAAAAAAAAAAAAAAAAAAACCCCAAAAACCCTGACATTTACTTTCATATTTCTAAGTAGTATACTTATATTATTTCTTGACTTACCAACTTGAAACTACTAATTTTCTATTAGGTGGATGGATCACTTTGTCTATTATAATAATACCCTCTACTTCTCCTCCTCTTTTCCCACAGTTAAAAAAAATCCTGGATAGGCCAGGCGCGGTGGCTCAAGCCTGTAATCCCAGCACTTTGGGAGGCCGAGACGGGCGGATCACGAGGTCAGGAGATCCAGACCATCCTGGCTAACGGTGAAACCCCGTCTCTACTACAAAAATACAAAAAAACTAGCCGGGCGAGGTGGTGGGCGCCTGTAGTCCCAGCTACTCGGGAGGCTGAGGCAGGAGAATGGCGTGAACCCGGGAGGCGGAGCTTGCAGAGAGCCGAGATCCCGCCACTGCACTCCAGCCTGGGCGACAGCGCAAGACTCCGTCTCAAAAAAAAAAAAAAAAACCTGGATAAATCAGTAGTCCGTGTAATACATAAATATGTAATGTCAATGTAACTATGGTTTGGTGATGATCCTATTCGTTGTATATTTTATCTTGTACAAATTTTTATTTTTTCTGGAATTAATAATTTAAGACATTGTGTACTCCGTGTACCTATCTTTAATGTTTCTTGAAGTTGTCCATCTGCTCTGTCAAATTTTGAGGGTTTTTTCCCCCCACCATGCTGAAGTATATTAGGTAATTGATTGTTTCCATATTTTCTTGGAGCCCTCCCTCCCACTGTGCCTCTCCCATTGCTGCAGCCTGGACGGGGTGCTACAAAGCCCTAGTGCACAAGCTGTCACCCTGAGATCTTCTCTACCAAACTGTTTTTCTTCTGTTGGGGCTCCGTTTTCTGGATCCAGTGAATTCTTTTCCTTGGTTTGGTTAACCCACATACTTGATTCATGGTTTTGCTGGGTAATTTTAAGGTCATTACTCCACTATCTTCCACCATCCAGTGGTGTTGAGAAGTCTTACGGCACTCTGCTTTGCGTTATTTTGTTATTTTAGAGGTGAGAGCACTTTCTTAGAAAATAATGGTAGTCTCAGTTGACGGTATTCAAATTGACTGTATTACGGACCAGTGGAGCTGGGAGGGACCCTCAGTGTCCCCTAGTTTAATATCCCTGTAATACAAAGAAGGTACCTGACATTCAGAGAAGTGATGCGCCTTGTCTAAAGTTGTGGTTAGGAAGGGACAGAGCCAGGACTCTAAATTCTGTCCTCCAGGCATAATTCCAAAACGTTCTCCAGTGTTATGTATGTAGACTAAAATACTAACAGCACTTACGTTTTTGTTTCCTTTTGTTTTACTTTTTATTATGGCAAATTTCAAACATATACAGATATAGAATAGTTTAATGAATTCCCATGTTTTGATCACACAGGTTCAAACATGAATACATGGTCAGTCTTGTATCACTTAAACTCCTGCAGACAAGCCCTGCCCCATCCTGTTGTTTTGAATAAGATCCATCATGATATGTCACTATAAAAAGGCCTGTTCTTTGCGAAAAAATAACGATAATACAATTGGTTACTCTGCAGAGTTTTACAATTGCCTTTTTATCCCTGATGTCCTGAAATATTCACGATGTTAGCCACTTAGAAGGGCCTTTCAATGGGAAGACTCTGCATCCTTCTGGGAAATTTTCTTGCATTTTGCCTTGAAAATATTTCTGTCTTTCCCTTTTTTCTTTTCTCTTTCTATAATTCTTGATCTTCTGGATTGATCCTCTACATCCATCTCCTTTTTGTTCTGTTTTTTATTTTTTATTCTTTGGATATGGAGTCTCGCTCTGTTGCCCAGGCCAGAGTGCAGTGGCATGATCTTGGCTTACTACAACCTCCGCCTCCCAGGTTCAAGTGATTCTCCTGCCTCAGCTTACCGAGTGCTGGGATTACATATGTGCGCAACCACGCCTGGCTAATTTTTGTATTTTTAGTAGAGACAGGGTTTCACCATGCTGGCCAGGCTGGTCTCGAACTCCTGAACTCAAGCAATCTGCCCATCTCAGCCTCCCAAAGTGCTGGGATTACAGGCATGAGCCACTGCGCCCAACCCTGTTCTGTTTCTTTTTCTCTATTTTTTCCCGCATTTACTGGAAGATAAATGGCTTCCCAGCTCTTAGACTAAAATGTTCAATTTCAGCTTCCCTAATTTTAAATTTCCAAGTGTTCTTTCTTGGCTTTATTTATTTATTTATTTATTTATTTATTTTAGACTGAGTCTCTGTCACCAAGGCTGGAGTGCAGTGGTGTGATCTCGGCTCACTGCAACCTCTGCCTCCTGGGTTCAAGTGATTCTCCTGCCTCAGCCTCCCGAGTAGCTGGACTACAAGCACCTGCCACTATGCCCAGCTAATTTTTGTATTTTTAGTAGGGACAGGGTTTCACTAAGATGGCCAGACTGCTCTCGAACTCCTGGCTTCAGGTGATCTGGCTGCCTTGGCCTCCTAAAGTGCTGGGATTACAGGTGTGAGGCACCATATCCTTGGTTTATGGATGCAAAAACTTCTGTTATTTTCCCAATGGTATTATTTGCTTGTAGGTTTTGTTTTCTTTTGTTCTTATTTGCTTCCATCAAGTTAATTTTTCTCCTTGTTTTGTCCTATTTCTTCATGTTGGGATTTTTTTATCAATTTTTTTTTGTTTCTAATATGCGATATGCAGCATCCAGATGCCATTTAAATGTTAATATGAATTGTGACCTAAAAAATAGGAAGAAAAAAAGGAAAAGATACTGAATGATCAAGTTCAAAGAGGTGTAATAAGAATAATATACATGTGGGAAGAATCCTATGCAATGTCATTAAAATAACTTTTGAGTCATGCAGAAAGACAATTACAGAATCTTAAGAAAGCCACAAATGTAACATCTAAACAAGGAGCAAATAACAAGTTATAACCTATGTGAAGTCAAGTTAAGATGAAATAGCAGATTCAAATCACACAGAAGAAGAGCTAATGTGTGACTTTAATCCTGAGAATGTGTAAGCCCACGACCAGTCCTTTTAAAGTAGAAAGCCCTATTTATAGGACTCATAATGTCTCAGTAGTGATTTCTGAAAAAATCAAATTCTGAGTCTCAGCTAAAAAAAATCTCTCTGGTTGATATATAACTTCAGTAGGCTGAGATAAGGACCTGAGTGTGCTTAGGTATAATTGTGTTTATTTTTTTAATTTTTTAAAATTTTATTATTATTTGAGATAGACTCTCACTCTGTCGCCCAGGCTGGAATGCAGTGGCATGATCTCGGCTCACTGCAAACTCCGCTTCCCAGATTCAAGCCATTCTCCTGTCTCAGCCTCCTGAGTAGCTGGGACTACCAGCACATGCCACCACGCCTGGCTAACTTTTGTATTTTTAGTAGAGACAGGGTTTCACCATATTGGTAAGACTGGTCTCGAACTCCTGACTGGATCCACCTACCTTGGCCTCCCAAAGTGCCAGGATTACAGGCGTGAGCCACTGCGCTCAGCTAGGTATAATTGTTTTATGGATATCATTTCACTCTGGAAAAGTTATAATTTAGCATCAAAAAATAAAGTATATTGCCAGGCGTGGTGGCTTATACCTGTAATCCCAGCACTTTGGGAGGCTGAGGTGGGTGGATCACGAGGTCAGGTGTTCGAGACCAGCCTGGCCAACATGGTGAAACGCCGTCTCTACTAAAAATATAAAAATTAGCCAGGCATGGTGGCACATACCTGTAATAATCCCAGCTATTCGGGAGACTGAGGCAGGAGAATAGCTTGAACCTGGGAGGCGGAGATTGCAGTGAGCCAAGATCCTGCCACTGCACTCCAGCCTGGGACAGAGCTAGACTCCGTCTCAAAAAAAAAAAAAAAAACTATATTACAGCTATAATATTAATATACTTATGTTAAGATTAAAAATGCATTATTAGTTTTTTATTGTTGTATAACTAATTACCACAAACCCAGTGGCTTAAGACAGCATCTGTGTATTATTGCATAGTTTCTGTGGATGAGGAGTCTAGGCCGCGTTTTCTGCTCAGGCCCTTATAAAGCTGTGCTGGAGGTACCGATTGTATTTTGATCTAGATGCTCAACTGAGGGAAAATCCACTTCCCACCTTATTCAGATTGTTAGCAGAAATCAATTCCTTGCTGGTGTGCAGCTGAGGACACTGGCTTTTTGCTGGCTGTTGGCTGGAGGCCTGTATCAGGTTCTAGAGGCATCCACAGGTTCCTAGAAGAGTCCGCAGTTCCTTACCACACAGGCTTCTCCAACATGCCTGCTTATTCCATCAGGTCCGCAAAGAGCATTTCACTGCTGTCTGCTGAAACAGAGTCTCATATAACATAACATAATCACAGGAGTGACATCCCATCATCTTTTCCATATAACACAACCTGATCAAGGGAGTGACATCCCATCACCAGTCCTGCCAACGCTCAAGGGCAGGAAGTGTGGCAAAGCATGAATACCAAGAGATGAGGAATCACGGGCACTTCCCTTACAGTCTGTCCGCTATAAAGAATGATCTGTATATGTTTGGTATTTAAAATTCCTGTAATGTTTAAGGAAATGTGGCAAATTGAAGGATCTAAGAGACCAGCTTTGTGGTTCCAATTTAGAATGAATGAATAATTGATTTAGATTTGGAATTTTGAGTTGAGTTGTAAGAGAGTTTTAATACATTTGGAGCCGGGCGTAGTGGCTCGCGCCTGTAATCCCAGCACTTTGGGAGGCTGAGGTAGGCGGAGCACCTTAGGTCAGGAGTTCAAGACTAGCCTGGCCAACAGGGTGAAACCCCGTCTCTACTAAAAATACAAAAATTAGCTGGGCATGCTAGTGCACACCTGTAATCCAGCTACATGGGAGGCTGAGGCAGGAGAAACGCTTGAACCCGGGAGGTGGAGGTTGCAGTGAGCCAAGATTGCACCATTGCACTCCAGCCTGGGCGGCAGAGCAACGCTCTATCTCAAAAAAAAAAAAAAAAAGAAAAGTTTAAAAATTATATTGGACCATTTAAAACAACTTAACATCCATCATACTTATATGTTTACTGTCTTACAAATATTAGAATTTTTAAGTACTTGAAAGGGTAGCAGCAGCCAGTCTCCAAACACGGCCAC